AATGCATGTACAATATGTGCAGTATGATATACATTATGTTATACACACATGTATATATAGTTTGTATATGTAATATACATATATGCATACATATGGATAGATAGATAAATAGAGAGAAAAAGAAAGAGAGAGAGAGATAGTTATAAATCCCTGGAATGAGCTGACACTAAGCTAGGACTTCTGAAGAAATTTCATGAAGAAATTATGGACTATTTGATAAAAAAAAAAAACCCTTTGAAATCTGTTACCAGTTGCCCCACATCTAGGAGTATCAGAAGGCTATTCTCAATGAGATACCCAAACATCTAGTTATGCTAGAGGGTTGGTACTTGGCTAAGAAGCTTGACCATTCAGAACAAATGCTGCAAAGGGCATTCTGGGAGCTACCGGAGGCAAACTGATAGAATCAGTAATAAAAATGCAAGATCACTAAACACCTAAGCATAACTAGAAAACTTCATTTCCTTCAAAGCTCATGTGAAGCACCATCTTTTATATGAGGTCTTTTCTAAATGCTTTCTGACTGACTGATCCTCCCAGCTGCCAGTGCCCTGGCCTTCCTCTCCCCTAATTACCTTGTATTTATATGCCTTCCTTAATAGAAAGTAAGCTCCTTGAGGGCAAAACTGTTTCATTTTTGGCTTTTTATCCACCGTATTTAATATAGTGCCTGGCTATATATAATAGGTGCTTGCTGAATATTTTTGTTGATTTAATACTTGATCAACAAACAGCTTTTGCAAGGAGAGGTAAGATGGCTTCTACAAGGGGAAATACAGCCTAACAAATCATCACCCAGTGTACTCTGTTCAGGACCCAGAAATTAAGAAGCCTCTTGATAAGGGTAAAAGAGGAGAGTGTAAAAGCTAGCTTGAAGCTTAACATTAAAAAAATGAAGATCATGGCAACTGGTCACATCACTACCTGGCAAATAGAGGGAGAAGAAATAGAAGGAGTGTCAGATATTATGTTCTTGGGCTCAAAGATCACAGCAGATGATGACTGCGGCCAAGAAATTAAAAGATGCTTGCTTTTTGGAAGGAAAGCTATGGCAAATCTGGACAGCACACTAAAAAGCAGAGACATCATCCTGCTGACTGAGGTCTGTGTAGTCAAAGCCATAGTTTTTCCAGCAGTAATGTACAGTTGTGAGAGTTGGACCATAAGGAAATCTGAGCACTGCAGAATCAACATTTTTGAATTGCGGTACTAAAGAAGACTTTTGAGAGCCCGTAGACAGCAAAGAGATCAAATCAGTCAATACTTAAAGAAATTAATTCAGACTACTCATTGGAAAGACAAATACTGAAACTGAAGCTGAAACACTTTGGCCATATAATGAGAAGATGAGGTTCATTGGAAAAGACCCTGGTGTTAGGAAAGATTGAAGGTAAAAGGAAAAGGGAATGGCAAAGAATGAGATGGATAGATAGTTTGATGGAAGCAATGAACTTGATCTTGGACAAACTCCTCGTGATAGTGGAACATAAAAGGGCCTGGTGTATTATGGTCCATAAGGTCAGAAAGAGTCAGACATGACTGAATGAACGAACAACAACATCGCTGATAGGTTGGAGAGCATCTAGAAGAAGGAGACCTGGATGGTGAAGGACCTTGAATTTATGCAATATGTGGATTAGTTTAAAGAATTGTGGATGTTATCCTGGAGAGAAGACTCAAATAGGGACATGATAGCTGTCCAATGCTTTAGGGGCCATCAGGTGGAATCTAGCCCGAACTTACTCTTTTTGGCTCCAGAGTAAAGAACTAGAAGTAACGGGCAAAAGATGCAATACGTTCCCCCTCATTGAATATCTTTTAAGCAAAAGTTGGCTGACCATTTTTAAGGTATGTTAGAAAATAGATTCTTTTTCAGATATGGATTTGGACCAGATGACTTATGAGGCCCTTTCCAGCTCAGAGCTGGTGCAATTCTGTGAATGGGACTGATCCGTATTTTTTAAATGCCATAGAAGAAAGTTCTATATCAAAAACTATTCTAAAAACTGTCACCTTCACATGTGGGGTCTGTGTGGTCATCCTTTGAGAACTCGAGTAGAAAACAGGATAGAAATAATCATATCTTCCTTTAGAAAGAGTATTTGCTGGGGTGGGGGGGTAGTCTTCTAAAGAGGGGTGCTAGGATCAGTTTTATTTGATTCTTTTCTTCAATGTCCTAGGAAAGTGAAAGAACTATATCTGTGGGTGATACCAAGTTTTTCTACTTGGTGATATGTCAAAACATCAGAGAGAGAGATGAACAGGCAAGGAAGTATAAGATGAGTTTCTATGTGGGCCAGGTAATAGATTTGGGGTAAAATAATTGAGAGATAAATGAAAATAGTTTATAAACAGATAAACCCAGAAGAGAACTGAGAGTTAATGTAGACTGGGCTGTTGTAGCTCAGAAGAGTCAACAACAAACAACATGCTAGGCATTCTTAAAATATCACAAACAGAATAAAGTGGAAATCATAAGCCTGCTATATGTAACATCATGGGGTAGCCACACCAGGCAATAATAATACAGCACATGGGATGTAATCCCTGAACCACCAGAAGAACGCAGCAAAGCTAGAGATCAAGATAATGGAGATGCTTCTTCATAAGCAGGCACTTAGTAAAAATGGGGATGTAGTCTGGGAAGAGTAAGGCTCAGCAAGCAAAGTGTCAGTTTATAAAATCAGGAAGGGCATTTTACATAAAGTTATGCTGGAGCCAGGCTGAGTGAAGAGAGGAATAGCCTTGTAGTCTAAAAGATCTGGGTTCAAGTTCTCCCTTTGACCCAGACAAGCCATATGACAATGGGTGAGCTGTCCATAGAGAATCTTCCACCCTGATGAAAATCATGGGTCTGCCTATCCCTCAAACCACCCCCTTCCGCCCAAAAAATTATATCAATGAATATGGACTTGTTCTCATAAAGTTGAGAAGGCCAGAACTGATGTTGGAGGGACCCTTCTTGAAATTTAAATGAGATACTTATAAGTTTAGAAAAAAAGAGCATAAGGATTAATATTCTTCATGATGGGAATAGATATTTGGGGGATATTTATTCCAACAGGTTTCAAAATAGAAAACTAAAAAGGGTTTAGATAAATTTAGGGTTGAGCAATTAAGAATGAGTTATTAGGGGAAGTACCTCCTAATCTTTTCAGATGGATTATGAAAGAAAATTATGCCCCCCAGACAAACATCCCTTGATGCTGTTGTCAAAGCATTATTGTTTGCCCCTCATTCACGAGGTCAACCATGACATCAAGGAGGTGAGGCCATGACATGGAAGTGAATTGGACTTAAGTGAGAGAGGGCTGTGCAAAGTTACCAGCCTCACTCTCTGGGTCCAGTGGCGGGATAAGACTGGGAGACGGCCCTATCAAAACATTATAATATTGGGTTGATGGAATATGCGTGGATTTGACCCACTATTTTTACATTACTTATGCTTTCACTTTCTTTTCTGTAATACAAAAAATGGGAAAAAGAAAATGATAGGACCAAATAGAATGTGCTAAATGATTTTATCTTTTTAAAAACAAGTTCAGTTGATGATATCTGGGTTTTATTTGTTTTTTAAAGGAACATTTCTGAGTCTCTCATAGTTGGATCTTTCTCTTGCACCTTCATCACCATTTAATTCTTATACCTTCCTGTTGTAGTGAATGTGAGTTCTATTCTCCCATATCCTGAGGTGTGTCAAACATGAGAAAGGATCACACAAAAGGCCTTCAACAAATGGGAGAATGATACTTCAGAGTACCAGGGGGCATGGCATTGCTTACACCCCCTCGTTCCATGCCAATAGGAGAATGGTGCTCTCTTTCTCTGTCAGCATATGTAGTGCAGCATTGTCTACACTTCCTCCTATGAGTGAGAGGTCTTCAAGCACTAATTTCTTCAATGGGAACAGCTAAACTTACACTGTAGTCAAATGGACAGAAGGAGAAAAAAAAGTTACAAAGGAAGGTTTGGTCTGAGCAAAAAGAAAAATACAACCTCCCCTAAAAGAAATTTTTAAAAATCTACTTTAAAATGTTGCTTCTTTAAAAACTGAAGGATTTTGGAGTCTAGTCTGAAAACAAGCAGGAATTTTAGATCGACTCTTCAGAACCTATAGCCAGAAGGGACCTTAGAAGTAGGTCCTGGAGAGCCAGAGATGTCAAACTCCCCTGGGCCACAAGCAACCAGAAACTCCGGAGTGCTGTCTGAATCAGATTAAAATATAATTAAGAAATATTTAATAAAATCAATAAATTACACAGATAAGGCTAATTTGTGTTTTTCTAAGTCAATATGCAGTGTTTCTATTTTAGTTTGATACCACTCTAGTCCAGTTCTCTCATTTTACAGGTGGGGAAACTGAGGTCCAGGGAGGGACTTGCCCAGGGGTGACATAGGTACTTAGTGATAGAATAGGGATTTGAGCTCAGGTACTCGGACTCTAAGACCAGAATTCTTTCCACTCTAGCATAGGTTTCTTCTCTTCTTCAGATACATTACTATTCTTAGATAAGGAAGGAATGAAATAAATACAAGTTTCAAGGTATCATTTGGCCTTTTGGGGGGGAAATTGTTATTGCCTGTATTATCTTCTTTGCTTCCCTGCTCACAAAACCTAGAGTATACATTAAGACATCTTTTATCACTACTTCCCCCATCATCATTTCTCTAATTTCAAATTCACTTATCCCCCAGGCAGGAAAAGATGCTGAGTTTGTTGCCTTTGATCATTGGGTACCCCACATTTCTTTTCCTCAAATCTAATAACAATAACAATAATAATAAAAAGTAATACTATAAACCCATATTCATAGTATAGTCACTCTTACTACCTCCATTCCTCCATTAGCTCATTGCCTTTTCCTTCCCCTTGCTAAAGCATTCTTATTATTCCCATGCATTATTTCACCTTTGTGCGAGAACCAATCATTGAACCTCTTTCCTCATCCCATCTTATCAGGTTAATATTAGCAACTATAAATAGCTAAGAATAAGTTTACTTGATCAGTTCTTTCTTTTCATCCAGAATGGCTTTAATGGCTTTCCTCTCCAAACTTCTGATTGATGGTTGAAGACAGAATAGCTTGATATCACACAGGCAATATGGATATAGATCACATAACCCACAAACGCGTGAGCACTTTGTATAGCACAGGCAATACGGGTATGGATGTAAGTCACAACAGCAATAAGGATGCACGTATAAGTCGCAGAGGCAACGTGTACATTCGTCGAGGCATTTCAATTGCCTTAGTTCTCTGTCCACCTTCCTTATGTCTCTTCTTACACTGTCCAACAGACAACTTAGTGCAGCCATTACAGTCACACCTTATTTGTTGGTGAGTACCTTTGGAAAATGGCACTCGAGGGGAAAAAATTGTTCTAAGCTCTTCTCAGGAGTTTCTTTTAAAGATAAAGGAAACCCCCATGATTCACTTATTTTATAGCATGCATTCTATGACCTCACTGCCCACTGAGGATGTCATAGTCTCCGTTACCATGTGAACTGAGTGGCCAGTTCGTTGTCTCCAGAAAAACTCTTTTGGGGTTGGAGCTGCCTTTCATGTTCCTGAGGTTGAGAGTTCAGAGTCCTGGAAGTTCCCCAGGTTCTTTCCACCTTTCCACCCTTGTCGGGCTTCACCTTGGTGCATTTTGCCCGAGTGTGCTTCCCGGTCACAGTGGACTTGTGTGTCTGCTTGCTTCTCTCTCCCTGAATCCATCTGACTCTGGCAGGTATGTCTCATCTGAATGACTCCCTGACCTTGCCTTATTCTCTGGGATCTGCTCTGAACCACATGCAAGGTGGCTATGAGATACCATACCGTGATATTTCTCTGGCTTAGCATCAACTCAAGTCCTTATCTGACTGAGGTTTTAGGGATCACTGTCTCTAAAATTATTGGGGTTCTACCTTTAAACCCTGATATTCCTGTAACTATGGTTCTGCTCGTCTTCAGTCTTTTCAGTAGCTACAGCAAAGTCAAGCTCTTGAGCCCTTGTCTCCGAGTGTATGGAGGTATTTGTTGTTGTACCTCTAGTCTACAAGGTCTACCTAGACCCCTTACCCCAGCTGCCCTGGGACTATTGCAGTAGGCCCAGATGCCTCTCTCTGGACCTATGCTTGCCATATGGATATTGATTGATCACTGTGTCTAACCTTCACAGATTGAGACCTGATGCATGCACCCCAGCTTATGGTACTTACATCCCACTTGCCCTCTCCTTTTTGACTTATTTCACAGTCTATCTTCTTTTTGGATTCTCATGCCCATTCTCCTGGAAGGCTAGGCATCTACGTGTAGATTCCCAGCCTCTGCCTGCATTCCCATACATCTGTCTGGGTTTCCAGATACCTATTTATGCCAGGTGTATGTTAGAGTCTGTAGTATTGCTGTGTTCACCTTCAGTGACTACGTATATAAGTGTAAAACCATTACCTGCTCTCTGGAAGTTTTCTGCTTTGATATCTATCTAGTTTCAACCTTACCCACCCACAGGCTCAGAAGGAGCAAGGTGAAGATTCTGCCCCCTAGTTCTCTATTGGGACCCGTTGAAGATTCTGCCCCCTGGTTCTCTACTGGGACCTTTCTGTTTTCTTCCCCTGTACTATCTTTTCTTCCCCCCCCCTTTTTTTTTAGTTTGTGTCTTAACATGACTTAAAGCTTCCAGGATACAGTATTGGAGGACATTAAATGTCAAATAATAGCCAAGATTTAAGGTAAGCTTTAGGGGCAGCTAGGTGGGGAATAAGGAAAAATTGAGTTCAAATCTGGCCTCAGGCACTTACTAGCTGTGTGACCTTGGGCAACTGACTTAATCTATTCTCTCATCTGTAAAATGGGGATTTGTTGTGAGGCTCAAATGTATTAATAATTATAAAGTGTTTAGCATTGTGCCTGACACAAGCTTTATACAAATGTTAGTTGTTGTTATTGTTATCCATTAGATTGGGGAGAAAGGCCACCATTTTTATAAATCCAATGGATAGAAATGGAATTAGTGGCAGCATTGGTGGCCTCAGGTTACCAGCCTATAGCCAGCTTGCACCTTGGCCTCAGAGTCATCAGGGTATATTCCTTCACCACATTCTAAGAACAAAAGCAAAGAAGAATTTCAGACTTACAGCAAGATTTTGGAAGAACTACCTCCTAAAGTCCCACATACAATATTTGTTTGACTCTGAAAATTCTTTCGTAGCGGAATCTTTACAACAACCAAAATGGGAGACAAAAATTGGAAAGGTCTTTTTGTTTCATAGCTCCTTTATTGCTGTTGTTCATTCATATTTAACTCTTCATGACCCTATGGACTATAGCACATCAATACTTTACATGGGGTTTTCTTGGCAAAGACACTGGAGTGATTTGCCATTTCATTCTCCAATGGATTCAGGCAAACAGATGTTAAATGACTTGCCTAGAGCAACACAGTTAGAAAGTGTCTGAGGCTGAATTTGAACTCAGGTCTTCCTGACTCCAAGTCCAGCACTCTATCCACTGAGCCACCCAGCTGCCTTCATAGCTTCTTTAGGCTCTAAAATATTGGTGCCCTTATGCCTGAGGATTTTCTACTGAAAACCAAAAGGCAGAGTACTTTTTTTTATATAGCAGTCATTCAGAGAATAGTGCTTGTAGACATTTACAATATCACTAAGCATCTAGTTCATATCCCATCTCTGATGCTTACTACTTCTGTGATGTTAGTCAAATCATTTCAATTCCCCTAAGCTTCAGTTTGCTCATCTATAAAATTAGAGCAAAAGAGGGATTTGATTTTGTTTTAGTGGTGAGGTATAGTCTTTCACTGCAGCAATAAAAATGAAGGGTCCTTGAGTTCAAAGAATTAAAAAATTAAGATACCCGATAAGATTCTCTTACCTGTTTCCTTCATTTGGCAGCAAATGCCTCTCCAAATGAATGATCACATGGTAATCTTGTGCTTGCACCGGGGAGGGGAAAAGGAAACCTATGTGAAAAAAATTACAAGTCCAAAGGAGATTTATTGAAGGATACTCTTTGTAGCTATCTGGAGATAAGACTATAATACTTTAGACCTCCAAATTTGTAGCTAGATTAGGGTAACATGTTTCAACTCTCCATACTGTAGTGGTATGGCAGCTCCAAAGAAGGCTTCCCAAGTTTTCCTTTTCATATGGAAAAAGTACCATCTCTGACATGTATTAGGGATGCTTCTTCATTTTTAGGGATTCCAGGATGAAATTAGTGGAGAGTAAGATATCTCTCACCTTTGTTTCCTTATCAATATGTAGGGATCTTTGAGTGTAGTAATTGGTTGAGGGAGATGAGAGTATGGGGCTGATTACCCAAAGTTAGCTGAAGAAGATATAGTGGGGTTTCACACTGTGACACTAGATCAAATTTTTTTTCATCTTTGAAGTTATTGGGAAAATAAAGAGAGACCTCAGTTGCTTTTAGGGATGAAAACCAAAATCAAAGAACCTATGTAATACATACCAATTATTTGGCAAATGCAAGGAGAATATCCTTGGATTATTCTTTCAAGTGAGGAATCAAAGGCTTTATGGAGTACTTTATGTTTTTTTCTTTAAAATTTTGCTTATGAAATGCTAACTCATTCAGGAAGGTAGGTGTGGGGAAAGGTAGAATCAACTTTTCATATACATAAATCTTAATAAGAGGATAAAGACCTTGCTGATTAATATAACTATACATGTGCACATACGTATGAATATATTCTATGGCAAACAATATCCATTTATATACTTTAAAATGAGGAAGGATAGCACTTGTTGTTACAAGATTCTCAAAAGCATAGCCATATCTTCATATGCATAATATTAAAGGGATTATGGAAATTATGAGAAAAGACTTGATAGAAAGCATTGCAGCAGTTAAATAAATTGTTGGCCCTGGCACAGAGTGAAATTACTTATTATTGAGATAGTAGTCTTTTTTGAATCGGCTCTCTGTCTATAGGTAATTGGTTAGAGAAAAGAGCAAAGTCAGTATAAAACCAGAAGATTAGATGTGAGAAAAAGATATAATGAGCAGTGAAACAACTCAATCTTGACCTATTCAGCCAAGTTATTGACAATGAAAAAATGGGTAATAGACATAAGGAAAGACATAGACATAGAGTATGAAAATCTCATACTAAAATTTAACAAATACAATACCATAACAAGGAGACTAAAAAGCACTTCACTCAACAAACACTTTACTTAGTTGCAAGTTGGAAAGAGTTGGCAGTGAAAAGCGATACCGGTTTAGAATACAAACTTGTTTGTAAAATCTTATGGAAAAGAAAGATTAAACATTAGGAGTGGTATCACCTTATAGAAAAGAGAAACAATGAAAGGCAGTGGGGGAGGAATTAAAAACTTCTTTAAAGTAAATTTAGTGAGAGACTAAAACTCAGTGAAAGTAATAGATGGTATTTAAAGATGAAAGCACATGTAGGATGATTAAATAGATGGAAAAGATCTGCAAATAATTTTATTACAAACTTTTTTCACCATCAAGGACAGTTGAGTAACCACACTTCCATTGTGAAATCAAAGTGTCAGAAATGCTTAAAGAGATTGCAAAAATGTCACTAAAGAGAACACAAACTGGAAACACAGTGGAATTAGACCAAGTATACATAGAGGCTGAGGTGATATAATCATAAGGATACTGAGGGATGAAATCATGTATGTGAAGGAAGGGAAGGTATTAAAGTCATGAGTTAAAACACCACACATTACTATTTTTCTTTTTGTTAAAATTAATTTATTTATTTTTAGTTTTCAACATTCACTTCCATAAGATTTTGAGTGCCAAATTTTCTCCCCATCTCTCCCCTTCCCCCACCCCAAGACAGCATGCAATTTGATATAGGCTCTACAAATATATTCATATTGAACCTATTTTTGCATTAGTCATGTTGTAAAGAAGAATTAGAAACCACAAGAAAGAAGAAACAAACAAACAAACAAAAAAGAGAGCAAATAATATGCTTCAATCTACATTTTTTCAGACTCCATAGTTCTTTTTCTGGATGTGAATAGCATTTTCCATCATAAGTCCTTTGGAGGTGTCTTGGATCCTTGCATTGCTAAGAAGAGATGCGGCTATCAAAGTTAGTCATCACACATTGTGGCTGTTACTAACACCACACATTAATAATATTGAAAAAGGGAACCAAGAGCTGATAAACAAAACTAAGACCTATTTTTGAAGCCTAACAAAATTGATAAACTATTAATTAACCTGATCAAGAAAAAAAGAATAATATTAAATTACTAAAATAAAAATGAACAAGGTGAATCCATAACAAAGAAAAAGGAAATGAAAG